TGCATAACCCTGGGTACAATGAAATGCTAACCCCGGTTCTAAACTACAAAAGTGCTATTGTAAAAGGTATTAAAAGGTGGGTTCAGAATGACACTATGAAGTTAACCTGTTATCTGTTATCCTGAAGTTAAGCCCAGTGTGAAAAACTCTATTACTTACTTGCTCTTGTGCTGTTCCAAATCTGCAGGACTTTTTTTTCTTCTGTGAACATAGAAGAAGACAATATTTAGAAATATCTCCTTTTATGGTCTATAATGGATGTCAATGTGACGAAATGTTTGGTTATCAACAGTCTTTATAATTATGTTATTTTTGTAAAGGCATTCATGACATTTTGGAAAAACATGAGGTTAAAGGGTTAGTTTATTTAAAAATGACAATTTATGACTGCTATTAATTACTCACCGTCATATTGTACCAAACCCATAAGACCTTCGTTCATCTTTAGCACACAAACTAAGACATTTTACATGAAAGACAAGAGCTCTCTGATCCTAGACAGTAGTCCAGAGACATTTAAAGTCCAGAAAGGGAACCAAAAATATTGTCAAAATATGTCATGTGACTTTAGAGGTTCAATTATAATCGTATTATGCTCCAACAGATTTGTGTGCCAATAAAAACTGTAAAAATGTCTTTGGTCGGCAGTGTTTTCTCTACCTTGCCAGGTCAGCAGTACAACATGCAAGTATTGTATTGCCTGTAGTAAATGCACACTTTGACTTTATGTGGCTAAAGAGAGGACATGCAAAGAAAAAGTCATTTTTTTCCACACAAAAAAGTGTTGGAGTTTGTGGATTTGTCACATAAACTTTTCTTGACAATATTTTTGGTTTTAACGTCTAATAACCATTGCTGTTTTTTAAAGGATGAGATAACTCTTGATTTCACCTAAAATGTCTTAATTTGTGCTCCGAAGGTCTCAGAAGGATTCAAACAATATGAGAATGGGTAATTAATATCGAAATTTAAAATGTGGTGTGAACTAAGCATTTAAATGAATAGTAGGACCAAATATATTTTTGAATGAGGTATCAAATAAAGAGGTCATTTTCACTACAGGTGATAAATAGGATGATATAAAAGTATCAATTTTATTATGGATACAAAAAACACAGAACTTTATGTGTAGTATTACAGTCTTTGCCATGGATATTGGTAATAAAGTACACAAATGAAGTACATCAGTAAACGTGTAGATATCCTAATAAAGATATTCCATAATACTGTAAATTTGAACATCTAAAATGAATCCTTTCCTTTATCAAGGTCTCGGATTGGTTGAATTTATCTATATGAACAAGCAGCGGATAACAGCCTGCTTAAGTTATTTTAAAGCAGCACACATTCAATCTTCCTCTGCGATGACATGGACAAATTTACACTTAGCGTTCACTTCAAAGATGAACAGATCCGCTTTATAGACATGCTTTTGCACTTAGCATGCTCTCTGTCCTCCTCAACTGTTTGTACCTGTCTGCTGTGTGTCTGCCTTGCGAATTCTGAGCATTGCTGAGAGTAATAGACAGATCTGAGAGCAGGCGAGTGTTTAGCCGCACCTGTCTCTCCTCTTCAGACTCCTGTCCTTCATGGGTCATACACTAAATCTTGCAGTAAAGAGAAACAGATTATCAATTGATTTCAGGCATCTAAAAATCTCCTGTCTTCTCTTGTTTATATGCCTTAAATAAATAATACATTATCAAACATATTGTAGCATTTTAAAGGGACAGTTAACTCGAAAAGGATATTTGTAACAAAATAATTTGTATTCTTTTTTTGGAAGGTACCATTAATTAATGTTAGTTAATAATTAACTAAGATCAGCTAACAATGAGCATTACGTTTGTTTGATATTTATTAATTTTCATTTACATTAGTTAACTAAAACAGATCATTGTTATTTCATGTTAGTTTAGGTATATTAAATAATATTAACTTTTGATTTTAATAATGTGTTGGTAGGTGTTGAATTATAGTAATAATAATAATAATAATAATATTAATAATAATAATAATTATTATTATTATTATTATTATTATTATATACTATGATAATTATTATCATCATCATCATCATCATTATCATGGACACTTTTGAGAAAAGGTCAGATGTTAATGTGACTAAACTTTTTCTCTTTTAGGTAAGTTAGGATTATCACATTTGATCTGTTATGTTTAATAGCAGAATAATGAGAGAGAGATTATTTGGGAAATTGTTATAACTTTTCTTGAAAGTCAAGTTTACATACAATAAGATTATTATGCCTCTGAAAAAGCTCAGATGATGGTGTCATTTTTAGAAGTATCTAGTTGGCTAATTGACAACAATTGAGTTAATTGGAGGCACAACTGTAGAATATTATTTAAGGTAAACCTCAAACACACTGCTTCCTTTTGTGACAACATGGGAAAATCAACATGCCAGAATCAGCAAAAAAGCCAGATTAAAATTTTCTGAATTACACTGGGAAAAAGACAAATTTTTGGAGACATGTCCTGTGGTCTCATGGAACTAAGATTGAACTGTTTGGTCATAATGACCAGTGTTACATTTGGTGGACAAATGGGAAAGCTTACAAGCCTAGGAACACCATCCCAACTGTGAAGTATGGGGGCAGCAGCATCATGTTGTAGGGCTGTTTTGCTGCAGGAGGGAACGGTCCACTTCACAGCATAGATGGCATCATGAAGAAAGAACATTATGTAGAAATACTGAAGCAACATCTCAAGACGTCAGCCAGGAAATTAAAACTTGGCCACAAATGGGTCTTCCAAACAGACCATGACCCTAAGCATTCTGCCAAATTAGATAAAATGTGCTTTAAGGACAACAGAGTGAATGTTTTGGAGAGGCCATCACAAAGCCCTGATCTTAATCCTGTAAAAACTTTGTGGGCAGAGTTGAAAAAGCTTGTGAGAGCAAGACAGCCTATAAATCTAACTCAGTTACACCAGTTCTGTCAGGAGGAATGGGCCAAAATTCCTCGTTTTGTGGAAGGATACCCAATACATCTGGTCAAAGTTATACAGTTTAAAAGCAGAGCTAAAAAATACCAAGGAAATGTATTTCAACTTTTAATGGTTTAGAAATTAATTTAAAAAATATCTAAAAAAATTCTCATTAATCTGACATTTAGCAACTGTAAATCATTTAGGTAATCCTAATGGACCTAAAATAGTAAACTTTTAGTATGATTTACCATCAGACATTCTACAAGTACAAATGTGTACCTTTTGAAAAGGTACTACCCCAGTGACAACTCGCGTACCTTTATTTCTGAGAGTGCAGGGCTCAACAATAAGGACTGCCCGATGGCCCTGGGCCAGCGTGTGAGATGCTCAGGACAGTAGACAGGATCGTTACTGGCTAATCAACACGTTCTCACTCCCAACTCGTCACATACTGACGCTTGGTCAGGAACCCTCGGCGTAAGTTATTGACGCACAGGGTACCCCTTTAGCGTCATATTTAGACGTGCAGGGATTCCCTATAGAATCTGTGCCTGAGCCTGAGGCGTCATTGGGAGACGCTGGAGGCTCGTATAATTACCAATAGATGTCAACGCACTTTTTAAAACCTGATTTACGCCTATTATCACAGTTTTCTTATTTTAAAAATATGCAATTTTTATTTTGTTCATGAAAAGCGTCTGTAAACTGGGTTGAAACTACTGTATGAATAAACTTCGGTCCACGTGACATCCCTTCACGGTGAGTTTAACGCCGCTTTGCTATTGGTCAAACTGCATCAGCGGTGAGTTCTCAGATGAGTTCAACTGTCAACATTAAATAGTATGTTAAAGCTTCATAATGTATTTTTATTGGAGAATAGTTGGTGTTTATAAATATGTTATCTTTTACTTTAGATTTAATGAGTGAAATTATATTCGGTTGCCCAGTTTAGGGTAACTATGCCTAATAAAACTTTGATTCATTCATATTATTTATTGTTTTTTTACTTTAAAAATATTACATTTCAAGTACTAAGTTTAAAAATGTTTTCGGCTGATCTTTTTCATTTTAAACTATTTATTGAAGTTGGGGTCATTGTATGTGGCGATCTATTTTTTACAGTCTATGCTCGCTATCCCAAGGTTCATTGCGATCCCAAGGTTCATTGCGGTTTTCCACAAGGTAAGTAAAAAGTAAACAAATAAAGACGATTTGTTGATAAAGCATGTACTGTAAACTAGCGACGTTATCTAATTACATCAAGTTTATTTATTAAAAACATATTTTTTTCTCACATATAACGTTGGTCATGCATTAGAACAATATATACATTTTAAGATAAGGAACAGTGTAACCAGATTGTTGTTTTCCACAATAGAATTCGTGCAAAATCTATATATAATATGCAGTATGCAACTCTAATAATACAAATGTATTCGTAATTGTTTTAATATTAAAGAACATCAAGTGTTTCCAAAGGTTTAAAGGCTACATTGTAAAAACGATTATTTTCCATGCCCTTAAACACACACACACACACACATATAAATATCTATATATATATATATATATATATATATATATATATATATATATATATATATATATATATATATATATAGAGCATAACAAAAGCTCAGGTATAACTTAAGCTGATGTATGTCACACAATGAATATCATACACTATTACCAGTATAATTTGGCCTTTACCAATTTATTTAATAAAATAAAGAATCTATCATCTCTAAATTGTGGTAAAGAGGCACAACAAGCTGTCTTATTTGTCAAATATTATGTCAGTCAGGATGGTAATGGTAAAACTCAAGGATTACCTTGCACCTTCTCAGAAATTTACCATTGATCATATGTATTACAAGTGGCTGGATTGTTTTTAACACAAGCAATGTTTTTTTAAATCATTATCTTAAAGAGATTAAGGCTCATTTTGGACTACACTTACACTAGTTTACAACTGCTTAATGCAGTACTGATGTATCTAGTAGTTTACTGGGTTTAACTAATGTCACATCTGTTTTTATTCATTTCAGATGCAGAAACTTTTGACATATGAATTCATCTTGACTAAGGGTGAGGTTTTTGTTCAGAATTAATCATTATTTAAAATCATTGTATTTTCTTTGTTATTATGTACAGCTTTTAAAAGAATGTACTTTATTTTAATAAAGAACTCTTCACAGCACTGCACCTGAACAGTCACAACCTCACAGAGCTGCACAACTGCCCCACTCAGATCAGTGTTGAAGCTGGAACCTCATCTTGTGTACAGCAAAGGCAGAGCTGAAAATTCACTGTTTGTCTTGTATTGTGTGGTAAGTCATAGTTTTATTAATTTTTTTATTTTATTGCAACACTAAGTAGTCCATTCTGTGGCCAATATGATATAAAGGGTCTAAAATGGGACTGACGTGATCATTGTTTTGATTTCTAGATAAGTACTCATGGGGCTACACATGCAGCTGAAGTTAGCTTCATTGAGTAGGACATTTCTTTCAGTATACTCTTAAAGAGATTCACCCAAAAAGGAATATTCTGTCATTAATGACTCATACTTCACTTGTTCCAAATATGTCTGACTTGCTTTCTTCAGTTAAACACAAAAAATTATATTTTAAAGAAAGATGAAAACCTGCAAACACTGACTTCCATAGTATTTGTTTTTTCCTACTATGTATGTCAATGTTTTCAGCTTTTCAGCTTTCTTCAAAAAACTTCCTTCATGTTCAACACAAAGTAATTTGGAAGTTTTTAAAAAAGGTTTACAACCACTTAAAGGAGAGTAAATAGTGAACTATTCCTTTAACCCAATCTAGTTGACTTTACTAGAAAATTGTATAGAAACCCAGTGGCTTAAACCCCTTACATTTTATACAAGGTACAACTTAACAGCCATACTTGAATTAAAATATTACTGCAAGTCCAAGAAGATTGTAACGGTTCTAGGTTAATTTAAAGTGGGCTGTTTAGTTTCACCTTGTGTAAAAACATAAAGGGTTTAAGGCAACATGTTTCTATGCAGTTTACACTCTTAACCCAAACTAGTTGACTTTATTAGAATAAAGTCAACTAGTTTGGGTTAAGAGTGTAATGGTTTACAGTAATAGCAGTGAATCATGCAGGCATAACATAAATGTTTAGCCATGTAAAGCAATAAGCTTGTTATAATTTAGAAATATTTTTAGGGTGGAGCACAGTATGCTGTTGTAGTTTTCATATAATTGATGAGTCAAACAAGAGATGTGTGTTTTAAATTGCAAGAAGTGAATTAACAATATGTTCATCAAGATTCAAATCTTGCATCTTATATTTTTTTAAGGTTTTGGCCCAATAATACCCATATTCTGCTATTTAAAAAAAAACATGCAGGAATTTGTGTCAGCATTCCCTTCAATGAAAACTACAGCAGTGGACATCAGTGGTGATAAAAATGTATGAGAAGGATAATGGTGTTCATAATGAGAAGTGCAGTCACTATCCTGATCTCTGAGTTTGTAGAACTGACAGATTTGCTTGGAATACATGGAAACAAGCTGGAAATGTTTAACCTATTATACAGTTAATTCAAGAGTGCCAGGTTTAATGACACTTTACATATATAAATAAATATCACTGAACTTTCTAAATGAAACCTAACACTTATTCTTTGTTCAGTAATGATATTGTGCACTTCTAATACTTTACAGTGGCAAAATCTGGAATAACACATGGGAACCCTCCAGGAATTCCTGACACTTTACGCCCAAGTCTCCTCATGCTAACCGGATTGCAATATGACAGTCTAGTCAGCATAAACACCTGGACTCACCAAGCACACTTTGGTTCTCATTGTTTTGTAAAAAATGTTTTTGCTATTCTTCAGTAAATACTTGAATATGTTTTGAACTTATTCTACTTTTGATGTTTAAGTTCAGAAAGTTGTTATTATAAACATAATTTGCATTTGTCATGAAATTGACTTCTTGTTGTTGTGAAAGCTGTTTATTATAATGGCATTTCCAAAGGCATCATTTGAAAAGATTTATTGCAGTGCAGTTTTACTTGAGCTTGACATACCAGATGTATGACATGAATAAATATCACAAAATAATTATAATAATAATAATAAAAAATATACATTTCCTTCAATTATAATTGTTTTTAATCATTTATATATGTATGGTAATATATTATTGCATTAAAAACTGTTATAAAATATATATTTTTGGTTTTTGCATTTTTGCGTGATTTTTATTATTTATTTTATTTGTGGCATTATAAATAAATTATAAATGTTTCATTAAAAATGTATTGTGTTTATTTGCATACTCATTTACAATGAACTACTATTTTTACTATTTAATGGGCACTATATTTGTCATTTAAGTTTGACATATATTTATATTTGTATACCTACATGATGCAGGGTTTAGTTAGAGGAAATGCTGGAAATGTTTTCAAACATGAAGCTTTTTTATTATTTTATTATTCGTTTCAAATTTAGTATACTGCCTATGATCTGGTTTTACTATGATCATTTTGCACATCAGGTTACCCCCACAAAGGAATCTTACTGTAAATATACATTTGTATTTTTAATAAGACAATAAATAACGTAATATTAATACACATTTTGATATTTAAGTTATATTATAAGGTTAATATAATCTACCTTCAGCCGGAAGATTACCAAATAGAGACAAAGTGTGACGTAGATTGCGACGTTGTGATTGGACTATAACTTCAAAGCCAAATTAAAAGATCCTTCGTGTTGCTAACTATGTTTTGCTAACTTTGGCACTTTACTAACAGTGTCCTTTATCAATGAGTTATCGCTGTGTTTCAAATAGTTACCGATTAACCAAGATCGTAACCCTAAAGTTAACCCTAACTACACCTTTCAATGAACTACAATTTGTAGCGCCATGTCTTTCCCCTCCCATCTATACAGCGACAAAGGATTGTGGGTAATGTAGTTTAAAGCCTTTTTGTAATAAAATGGAACAAATACAATTTTTAATGAACTAAAGAGTATCTGAATAAGGTCATTGTGCATATATTTATGACATATATGAATGCCAGACATAAATTTGTTATTTTACAATGAGTATTTTTTTAAACAGCTTTTATTGACATGATTAGTATATATCAGACTATATCCAACATTATTTATTGAACATAGCATAGGTAATAGTCTTGCTGATATTCTCTCACTCATTTCTTGTTTGAAATGTGAATACTTTTTCCTTTTCTACGGGGCTCTACTCATCCCCTTTGAGTAAAAGGGCAGTTAACCTATGTAGATGTATTATCTTCAACATGGACAAGAAATTGTATTGTCACATGTACAGTTGTGGTAAAAAAAAAAAAAAAAAAAAAAAAAAGCTGTAAAAATAAGCTAAACATTAGTATCCTCTTTAATCACAAGTTATTAGCAATAGTGATCTATGTTCATCACAAATATTATGAGTTCAGAATAATATGTGTGGATGTAATTCTGTAAGTGTGTTTCATTAATGGTCATCATGTGATATTTAATTGTTTTCACTTTATTTGAAATATGGATAAAAGCTCTTTTAAAATATGTAAATGTTTATAAATAAAACCTTTTTAAAGACATGTATTTGTTTAAAAACCACTCTTTATCTGATTATTTTTACTTTCTAAATCTTCAACTGTTTGTGTAACAGCATGTTTTGATGACAATGGATAAACTTGTGTTTAATAATGATTCCACATAATCTCTTTGTCCTGCATGTGGGTTAATTTGTTAATTATTTTCTTTATGATCAAATGATTGTAAGATTTGCTGCATTGTAAGAATCATGAAAATATTGAGAAATGAGGTAACAATGACAAAAAGATATCCTTTCAAATGCTGCGAATAGTTCAAACCTCTAAATGATTAAAAATACATAGCCATTAACCAACAAAATAAAAATGCAAACATTTAAATTATCTAAACTAGAAGTAAAATATTTATGTGCTGTATTTATAAGTTACTGTGTAGTTCTATGTCTACCAAAAACACATATTTTATTTTCATTCATTCATTTTCTTTTTGGCTTAGTCCCTTTATTAACCAGGGGTCGCCACAGCTCTATGAACCGCCAACTTTTCCAGCATGTTTTTATGCAGCAGATGCTCTTCCAGCCGCAATCCATCTCTTGGAAAATATTTTATTTTTTATCTTGCATTCAATAAAACATTATACAAAGTTTTTTTTTTTTTTTTCAGAATAACAACAGTGGCACTGTTATCTCACAACAAGTGCAGCAGTTTTTTGTTAGACATTCTAACAAATGAATACAAATGTTTCAAAGTAAGGATAAAAATCAAAGGAGATTCATTTTTTTTTATTTTTTTTTAAGAAAAATCCATGAGGACCAAATGGATCCATCAGATCTTTGATGTAAATCATAGGTTAATTTTTCCAGAGGTAGAAGTCTGGTTGCCTGACTCAGCCACATATTGACTGGAGGTATCTGAGCAGTTGACCATAATAATGTACATTTTTTGGCCAAGTATATGCAAAAATTAAATTTATCATAAAAATGTATCATAAAATTAATATTTTAAAAGCTCTTAATGTCATTTAATGTAATAATTTTATTTTAATATAGAGTTCCTTAAATCGTTATATGTTGTAAGCAGTTAGGCATACAATAATGCTCTTAATTTACAACACTTATTGATTTTAGAGGAATGCTTACATACTGTACATATCTATGTATTTAAAAAAAAAAGAGACAACAATTTGGTTATAGATGATGAAAATTTTATTTTATTTTTACAGATTTTATTACATGCTTTAGATTCAGGGTTAAGGTCATCCTCTTCTGGGTTACAGTAAAAGAAAATCCACAGTCAATGTCATACTCATCAGCTGGAGCTTTATTTAAAAAATCTATGTTCTCTGCTCCAGCCAAAACTTGCAGGTACCTTGCAGGTCTCTAGATTGCACCATCGTATTGTTGTTTATTTCTCAGTTATTTTGTTGCTTTTTGAGAATGATGATCCATAGACCTTTTAACCCCTCTTTGTTTAGGCCACATGTCGAATCTTAAAAGAAGAACACAACAACATAAAAATATATTAATATCCTTTGGTCTGGGTAACCTTATGCTTAAGTTTGAGCCAAATAATACAAATACATACAGTACATTTCAGTAGCAAACAAGCAGGAAAGTTCTTTGAAGGAACCAGGATGAGTTGAAAGGTATTTATAGTGGTTGGCCATCTCTGCCACAAGAATCCACTGCTTCTCCTGAAGAATCCTGACTAGCAGGATGATGTTGAACACCCTCCTCTTTGTTGCTGGGTCAGCAGAGTCTGAAATATATTTATAAAAAGAAAGTTGTATAACAAGGATTATACGTCAACTTTTAAAGAATCAACACTGACAGAAGTCTAGTGTACATACCATGCCATATGACGAAGACATCCATATCACTTCTGTTGTTTGTTGTCTTTGCTTCTGCTACTGAAAAAATGACAATAATAGTAACACTTACAATTTTTCATGACTACATGTAATATTAATAAGAATTTCCTCACCCTCTGCCCACTCCTCTACATCACAGACCAAAGTCTTCCAATTGGTTTCCAGTCACTGCCAGTTCCATGGATTCTGTTTTGCAACTTGCTTTGCAGAGCTGTTGCAGTCTACAGTGATGAGCAATCAAAAATCACAATACTATTAAAATAGGTTACTGAACAACTAAAACAAATTCTACTGGATATCGTTACCTTCTGATATCAATAGGTCAGCGAGATGGCCAAATTGTTGAATATCTGCTAATTCCAGCACATGACCATGAGAGTTACAGTAGCATGTCTGGTCACTGCAATCCTATAGAAGAAATATTGCACTGTTCAACCTCCTTCCCAAGAGTAAAACCAGACATATCCTGGTATGCCTCACTCCATTTCACCTGGTTAACATATACAAAAAAAAACAAACAAACAAACAAACAAACAAACAAATAAGTAAACCAATAAGTTTTGGCATTTACTTGTAGATCAGTTTAAGATAATCACATAGTTCATCTATCTCAGATATAAACTCATGTGCTTAGGCATGAAACACACTAAAATCATGGGCTTAAAGATGGTGCTGACACTTTGGACAGCTTTTCGCAAGTCTTTGGAGGTAGTGTCATTAGTTGATGTAGTCCACAAATCTTCCTGTCAATCCTTAATCCTTAGCTGTAAATAAACCTTCAAAAATGCCAGTGTTTGAAAAAGGAATGAAACAGTACAGAACAAGTGCATGACAGTTTATATCTTCTAATCTAATTTTCTTAGGTGAACATCACAGAGCTGTTTTCTTGTTAATTTAGTTTCAACACATACAGTTTAAAGTACCTTGTGCATTCTTGAAATGGTTATGCTTATGGTTCATATCTACTTAAATTGGCAGCAGGACAGGACTGTGGAAGCAGGACAGATGAAGGACTCTTCCTTGCAAATACTATCCACCTTGTATTGCACAGACTCCCACTCAAGAATATCTCAGAAAAATGTCTGCTGAGATCTTAGCAGTCCATTAAAAATAATTATACCAACATCTTTTCCACCAATGGAAAGAATATAAAAATATTTTAGGATATATTAATACTTGCATGACCAAATCTGAGATAAAAAGGCCATCAGTATGGCTTAGTTTAAATAAAAACAAAATTTGACTCTAGTCCACTGTCACCTAGGTCTACAGATACAGGGATTAATGGAAACAATGAAGTACACACTGACAGTCACTGGAGCAAGGCCCTCTCACAGTTGGGAAGATTGGAGTTCCTATGAGCTGTACCAGATAAAAACAACAAAAAATTTACATTTATAACATTTCTAACTTATCCTAAGACTAGTAGATAAGCAGCATAAGCAGTTCTAATTTCCTAAACCCCAATGTGGACAGTTGAGGGCCTATAAGGTGTCATAAAATCAGACAAAACAAAATACTTTCTGAAAAAGAAAAAAATGGTTGGCCACTATCAACACCCAGAACAAATAGTTTTAAACAGTTAGGCCACAATATTTTGTGAGCTTATACTGTAGTTTATAATGTTTTTCATAAACAATAGTAATAGTAAAACTAATGTGTCTCTTTCTGTTATTACCATAGTAGTGAAAGAATAAATGCATTTTATCTCATACAATCATATATGCCTAAACAATGTAGATATTTAATATACATGGAATGAAAAACTTCACTAACCCTTAAAAGATTCCAGAGTGGTCTTGGCCTTCCTTACATGGTGGTGCTTCCTGCAGATCCTCAAGTTGTCATCAAGACTTAAGCTTATAATTGAGATCTTGATGATAAATCTGAGTATAAAGGAATCACTCATGGTGATAGGCAGAAACAGGCTGAAAGACACAAGAATTAATCAAACAAATACAAATGTGTTAACAGAGATAGAGAGAGAGACAAGTGCAATTTAACATATAAACATGGGTAAAGTGATTTAATTTTTTGCTTATTAGAAAACAAAATTGGATTTTTAAAGAAATCTAAAGAACCTGAAAAGAGCAAAGAAAAAATATTCATATCTGAACAGTGAACACCTTATAATTTACACCTGTATATATATATATATATATATATATATATATATATATATATATATATATATATATATATATGTGTGTGTGTGTGTGTGTGTGTGTGTGTGTGTGTGTGTGGTAGATTAAGCTGTTTTTTGTTTAGTTTTGTGTTTTACAATGAATAAAATGTGCTTAGACTGGCAAAATTTCTGACTTTTTTCCTTTAAAGGCATGGAAAATAATTGTTTTTACAATAAACCTTTGGAAACACTTGATGTTCTTTAATATTAAAACCATTACGAATACATTTGTATTATTAGAGTTGCATACTGCATATTATATATAGATTTTGCACGAATTCTATTGTGGAAAACAACAATCTGGTTACACTGTTCCTTATCTTAAAATGTATATATTGTTCTAATGCATGACCAACGTTATATGTGAGAAAAATATGTTTTTAATAAATGAACTTGATGTAATTAGATAACGTCAACAAATCAACAAATCGTCTTTATTTGTTTACTTTTTACTTACCTTGTGGAAAACCGCAGTGAACCTTGGGATCGCAATGAACCTTGGGATAGCGAGCATAGACTGTAAAAAATAGATCGCCACATACAATGACCCCAACTTCAATAAATAGTTTAAAATAAAAAAGATCAGCCGAAAACATTTTTAAACTTAGTAATTGAAATGTAATATTTTTTAAAGTAAAAAAACAATAAATAATATGAATGAATCAAAGTTTTATTAGGCATAGTTACCCTAAACTGGACAACCGAATATGTTTTCACTAATTAAATATAAAGTAAATGATAACATATTTATAAACACCAACTAATCTCCAATAAAAATAAATTATGCAGCATTAACGTAATATTTAATGTTGACAGTTGAACTCATCTGAGAACTCACCGCTGATGCAATTTGACCAATAGCAGAGCGGCGTTAAACTCACCGTGAAGGGATGTCACGTGGACCGAAGTTTATTCATACAGTAGTTTCGACCCAGTTTACAGACGCTTTTCATGAACAAAATAAAAATTGCATATTTTTAAAATAAGAAAACTGTGATAATAGGCGTAAATCAGGTTTTAAAAAGTGCATTGACATCTATTGGGTATTATACGAGCCTCCAGCGTCTCCCTATGACGCCTCAGGCTCAGGCACAGATTCTATAGGGAATCCCTGCACGTCTAAATATGACGCTAAAGGGGTACCCTGTGCGTCAATAACTTACGCCGAGGGTTCCTGACCAAGCGTCAGTATGTGACGAGTTGGGAGTGAGAACGTGTTGGGCTAATGCCCAGTAACTAAAGTTTAATTTGCCTGTGACTATTTGTCAATTGCATGCAAATACAGTCAGAATATAGAAACCGTTTGTGTTTTTCAAATGCTACCTTCTCGGTTCCTCTTATCTGATTGGATGTTGTGAGCATGTAATGTTTTTTCCCGTAACAACCAGTAAAGCTAAGAGACAGCAACATGGCGGCAACATCAAGTGATGATGCTAAAGGAAAACATTTGTCTCTAACGTCTTGGAAGCAGACATTTACAAGGGTACACCACGACAAAAAAAAAAAAATGAAGTGATGTTTTGTACAGTTTGCCGTTAGTTTGGCAGGTCAGTCATCCTTTGTTTTGCAATAAAATACCTGCACATTTTGCTACTTTTGTTTGCAAAACACTTTAACATTTTTTAAATATTCAAATTCTAGATTTACAAACATTTTGACATTTTTTTTTATTTGTGGCTAAGAAATAGCTATTAACTTTTTTTGGTGGGGCCAGTGACAATATTGGCAGGGCAAGTAAAAATCTGAACCACTGGTTCGATCGGGCCAGTAGAAAAAAATCCTTAGCGTTAAACCCTGAAGTGTAGACAAAGAGAAGGATTTTAAATTAACTTTTTCTCTCACCGGTAGCAAGGGAACTGTACAAATTTCGGGTTTTTGCTTAAATATCTAGCTGCTACATTTTGCTCTAACTCCAGGCACACAGGCACCCCAAAATAGAGAGAGTTGCAATAGTCTAACCAAGAGGTTATAAGCGCAAGCATGGCAATATACATTTGCAACTTAAAAAAAAAAAAGCAAAATCAGGATTATGAGAAAATGAATTTTGAGATATAACTATAAATTCAAAAGGGGAAAAGACAGTATTGCAAAATGTAAAGTCAGTGCTCAGAGGAAAAAAAGATAGAAAACAGAATTGTGGGGAGATTTTGTGAATCAAACAAATCTGAGTAAACAACATAATATTTCATTTTAAATTTTAATTAAACACTCTTCCTATTGGAATAATGGGCAGAAACTGAGAATTAATTTCTCCTGTATCTCTATCCACTATTTGCTTATGAACTCTGTTGGCAGTGGCTTTACCGTTTACATGCATATAAAATCAAAGCACGCCGCTCATGTTCACATTCCACAGTTCCAGTTATACCGAACACGCAGGTGTCAACAACTCAGCCGCTAACAATATCAGACACAGCTGTTGTTCACCCAGCTAATGCTACAGCTCAAACCGCAATCGAACGTAAATTATGCAAAAAGATGTACCAGTCATTTATGTCCTGCTAATACAGACATGGTGTTGCCAGAACGTTAGGTCATGCCAGGCCATGATTTACAGCGGCATCAGCAAGAACAGCAGTGTGTAACAGGTCACCCGTTTTTATCTTGACTACCAGCAGGTTTGTTGTTGTCTCTTGCTCTGGCTCATTTGTCACACAGAGAAGCCGCTTTAAGCGCAGAGCTACGCAAATCCACTGTAAAACTAGACGGAACTAATCTTTCAACACTGCGCAGGCATTTGGAGTGTCCGGCTCTGATTACCGCCCAGTCAGGTAGGCCTGAAGGTGGATTTATGCCACAGGAAGTGCACTGGTGATTGGTGAGGGCGAGGAAATGGAGACTGTTTGTTGGTTTTACTGGATAGGAGAAAGGACCAGGGAGGGAGAGAAAAAAGGGGGAGGGTGGGAAGACTTCAAAAGATGCATTTCTCTAGTCCACAAGAGGGATATGGGTCTACATCAGAGAGAGCAGCCATTTCCGTAGAGCCTCAACAGTGACCTGAAGGAATAAATGTTGGAGCACAAGCCTGACACTTCAAGGAAGATGCAGATAATGAATTGGACAAGGGATGTTGCTGAAGATTAGTTTATGCAGTGGCTATACTGTAGGTGGTCAATGAGAGACAAACTCAAAAGGTGGAGAACCTCAAAGGTTAACTCAATGCATTAGAGTTACTAATTTTGTGATACAAATTCTATACACTGTATACGGTTTTATAACAAAACAATCAAGACAACTAATAATTGTATGTTGGTTTAACTTATTTTGATAAGTTTTTCAAGTTTCAACAAAAAGTTTAACTTCATATTTTTAGTCAGTTTGATTGATGTAAGTTGAGATGACTAGAAAAGATCAATTGATTAAACTAAAAACTGTATAATTATATAATATCTGTGTATATGAAGAGTTTAGATGCAAAAACCTCTAAATAGCTTTTGATGTTTTCATTTTTTTTTTTACTTTATTGTCCACAAGTGGAAATTTATCTTTGGCTTCACCACACAACCATATCAGCATTCACATTACACACATCACAGAAAAAACAGGCAACACAAATACATTCAAAATCAACATTATCACATATATCACATAAATAAATAAATAAAAATAAAAAAACTCAATTTAAAACCCTTTACATACTTAGAAACCAGTATTTAAAACTCTAATGGCAGTTGGCACAAAGGACATTTGATACATTTTTCTTTACTTGAGGTTTCTTATTGATGCCTTTAAAGTAAAATAACTAAACATAAACATAAGAAACTTTAAAAAATGCACAGAAAAGGAACATTTCAGACGTCATTAAGAGGTTTTTGCATCTGCACTCTTCATATACTGTATATACTAAAAAACTGTACTGTATAATGTGATATACACTGTATAAAATGCTGGTCTCCACAAAATTATTTCATGTCCCAACACAAATCGATTCAGTTAATTTAATAATTTTTTCAAATGTAGGTGGATTGAACATAAAACAATTAAGTTGTCCTAAAAAACTCATTTTAAAATAAATAGTATGAACAATTGAACAAGCAGCAAAAGTACATTTTAAAAAGTAAAAGTTTTTTTAGTGAAGATACCACTATTCTGTATTTTTGACCTCCATGCATGTCTTGTTTTTACGAAAGCCCTGAACCGCCCTGAGATATTATGTTGTTATAATGAGAAAAGTTTTCTTTTTTTTTCTGTCACCACCAAGATTGCTTTTTTCACATTGCAGTTCAAGGCTTCAGTATGTTTTGCTCTATTTTTTTGGGAACAATTAATATTATGATTTATTTACCGAATTATAATGATTAATATTGATTGCACTTTACTTTACAGTAGAT